ACTTAGCTTGATGGTGTAAGAAAGTTATATATATTAATATTGCACAAAATTTAAACTCACTTTTTTAATCGGAAATATTTGTAGGTGGTCATTGATAGCAGGGAGAATTCCAGGAAGAACAGATAACGAGATAAAAAATTATTGGAATACTCACCTTAGCAAGAAATTAATTAGCCAAGGAATAGATCCAAGAACACACAAACCATTAATATTAAACAACCCTAATTCCTCTAGTGATGATAATCATATTATTACAAACAAAGCTAATTCTTCTTCTCCTTCTTCATCCTCAAAACTAGCAAATGATTATGATCTCAACACAATTAATACTCCAAACCCCATTTACAATCCTAATTTCCAAATGAAAGAACCCTTAGGAAGTAGCATCAACAATAATAACTGTCCTGGAGAAATTACGAGTCTTGATGATGATTATCAGTATCAGAGCAGTAATGTGATGCTTGCCAATTATCGCGATGATGATATGAACATTGTGGTTCATGATGAGGGAGACGATGGAATGAATTGTTGCGCGGATGATGTCTTCTCCTCCTTCTTGAATTCTTTGATCAATGAAGACATGTTCATGAATTGCCAAAATCAACAAATCAATGATACATTGCAAGATTTTGATCTTTTTATGGCTTCATCTACACCTTCATATGATCAAAATAATCTCAAGAGAATGGATCAATAATGAAAGAATGTTTGATTACATATATATATATATATATATATGCCTTGTTAATTAATTATCTTCAAATGTTTATTTATTTATATATATATATAATGGATTCTTATATTGATATTTGTAAGTCAAAACAATTTTTTTTTTCTCTTGGTGATTTTATAGATAGACTATATTGTCTTCAATTTTTTTTTAATGTGATTTATGAGTGATGATCAATCTTATTGATCTTGGGGATCCACATATGGACATATTTTTTTTTTTTTTTTTTTTTATATATATATATATATTATTTGATAATATTAATTACTACCTCCATTCTAAATTAATTGTCATATTTATTCATTTCAAAAATGTATTTGACTGATTTTCAAAACTAAATTATACTAAATCAACTCTATATTTTACATTATTAAGGGGTCACAATATGGACCAATAGCTCATGCATAGGTTATAGGACTATATATCTAGCTAATAATTGCCGGACAATAAAGTAATTCCTAATTTATCTGCTAATAATTCTTCACTATGTTAATTGTTGATCAATTAATATATGATAGCAAAAGTGAATAACTAATCGACAGTTAAGATTTGTTTTAATAAAACTCATACATCTAATAATTCAAATATAAAACTAAAAAATTGAAATATTTTAGATGTGTTTTCGACCTATCAACTTTTTCTTCAATTGTCAAGCATTTGGCTACATCTTCCATTATGTTTGATAACAACATGAAATACTACATTTCGACCAAATACTCACAACTACCAGTCTTTTTTTAAAATTTAATATACTGCACATGTGATTGGTAGGTAACTAACTCTACATACATAATATGCGTTCATAATTTCTTAGTGCAATTTCAGAGTCAATAATAATTCTTAACTCAAAGGCAAACCTAAGATTTTGAATTAAATTTCAAATTTTGAAAAGAAAAAGTTATATAGTAGGTCGCTCAAAAATATTAATAGTCGACTATACACATCAATATTATATATCCGTCTGCTATTTTTTTGTAAATTTTTTAAATTACTATAAAAAAGACATGATTTCCCGATTGATATTATTATTAGAAATGTGGGATTTTCTACAAAAAGTTCATCAGGAACGTTTCCAATGAGCTAGTTTATCTGTTTTTTTTTTAATAAAATAATAAATAAATAAATAAATATATAGTGGGAATGATTATAATATTGAATTGAAATGATTTATATGGAGTAACTATATGGTTAGTAGTTAGAATATATATCCGACACCCGCTTATTTTGGACTAAGACGTAGTTATTATTATTGTAATAATCATAGCGATACGTGTTATATATATAATGGTCTGAAATTAAATATAATTATGTGTAGCATGCACTGCATTTTTTAGTACATATATAATTAATATGATCATATAACTAGTCAAAACTACAAGTTGACATTTAGGTAGCTAACATATGCGTTCAACTAATTGATTTAATCTACTAATTTAACAAAAATAGTAATAAAAGAAGAAAAAAAATGATTACCAGCCAAGCATTTTAAAAAAAATATATAGCTTGAAGAAATAAAAAAAAAATGTAGTCAACAAACACATAATAATATAGAACTATATGTACATGAGAGAATATATGTGTTATCTAGAGTTTAAAAAATATATGAAAATAAAGACATGAAATTTTTTCTTCTAATTAATACCATTTTACTAGCTCTAGGATTAAACAAGATTAGTGACAAACAATTTCTATCAATAAGAACAAAAAATTCATCGTTAATCTTATCTAACAGTGAATAATACAAAAAAATATGTCAGCTATATATAGACTATTTAGAGACAAATATGAAAAACAATTCTAGAAATTAATTAAATTATTTGACTCACCCGGAAAAATTGCAGCAATTGCCATATTTTCAGAGAAAAATACATATTGTAAAATAAAATTGAAAATTTTGTAAATGGAAAAACAAATGAAATTTTAGGAGAAAAATAAGGAATTTTAGGTTTCATTAATTTGAAACCAACTACTAGAAGAGAGAAATATAAGAATGATAAAAAGAGCTTCCAAGTGTTAAACCACTATTTATATTGCATGGGTTTAGTAAAATAACAATAAAATGACAAAAAATAAATAAAAATGGGTTGAGTCAATGATATTTGGGAACTAATTCTAAGTTGAATATTAGTTGTAATATAAAAGATATTTTTGCTATTTACGACCAAGAATAATGGAGCATTGTGAAAGTAGTTCTTATTTTTTTCCTAGAGAAGAAAATAATAATAAAAAAATTATATATATATATTTATTTATTTATTTATTTATTTGTTTGTAATTTTTTTTGTTATAATCAATTAGTGATGTTCCTTTTAAAAAATATTTTATTTCGTTTATTTCGGTTCTTTTATAAGATTGACCGGTAGTTCCCTCTTATATTTAAATGTGGAGATCTTGGTAAAGATTTTTCAGATTGGTGTTTGGTTAAAATCAAATTGAAAGAAATTTATCTCTACTAAACTAATTAGGCCATCTATGTGTAATAAGTTAACCCAATTCAGTAATTTTGCTGTAATTACTAGCCCGTCTTGGGGTATGTTCTATCTAACTCTTATGTAATTTCTTAGCATATATATATATATATATATAGTATACATTAATCTTTATGTTATAACATTTTCTCTATGATTAGGAAAAACATCTCTATCATTTTTCAACTCATAATCCATTTAATATATAATTTTCATGTTTAACAAAAAAAAAACCAATATAATATGGAAGGTGCCTCAAAAATTAAAAAGGGCCAAAAGAAAGATATTGGGGGCCTAATTTAAAAGCCCATACCAATGAACAAAAAAAGGGACTCAAATTTTGACCCGAAAAAAGACCAATTTCAATTAACTCCATAGATTTTTTCTTCAGCTTGAGCTCTACTTAACCTGCAAAAACCCCTTTTACCAAGTTTATTTTTTTTTATCAAATTAAAGCTCCATTTTTTCTTAATTTTTAACTAATTAGTTGCATTTGTGTCCTAATTGGCTCTTAATTGATGTTAATAATAGTGAAAAGTGAAGCTTTGGTGCAACTTAAAGTTATCAGGTCACGAGTTCGATCTGTGGAATGAGTGTAAGCCCCTTTTCTATTATAAAGTAGTGTTTTTAAACATTATTGTTTTGTTGTATGCTATAAAAATTAAATCTTGATATCTTGATTCTGGTGTCCTGTAAAACTGAAGGACTCAATTTTTTTTTTTTTTTGTATATCCTTGTATAGCTGGAGATCTGTTAGGAGATCAAATTTGATTATTGCATGTTTAGTTCATATGTGTTTGTTTTACTCTCTCGATTTCAATTTGTTTGTCTGGTTTTGACTTCGGATGGAGTTTAAGAAATTAAGATTTTTGAATTGCGTGGTCTTAAACTTAAGATATGTAGAATGTATCGGAATGTAGTTCAATCTTGTGGTGTTAAACATATCATGTGTAAAGTTGGAATTAAAGAAGTTTTGACTTGACACGTAGTTTAAGAAATATGTAGAATGTATCAAAATGTACTTCAATTGGAAGGGAAGGAGTATTTTAAAATGTTGATGATAGAAGTTAACAAATAGGTTATCTGAGAGGAAGTTACTTGTTTTCGTTTGTGATTTGTTGTACTCCAGTCTTTTATTATGAGGAAAAATAAAAGTAAAAGAGTGGTCTTTTGCTTTACAGAGTTACCCCCGGTACTTGTGCTGGTGGGAGGTAGTTGGTACCTTGTGGAATTAGTCGAGGTGCGCAAGCTGGCTCGTATACCATGGTTATAAAAAGAAAAATCTTTAAAGATGATTGTTTTTATCTTAGTTGCATAGGTGGATTATGTTATTAGTGTCTAGTGTTAAGTTTCACAACAGGGGATGTGGTGACTTTGACTCCTTATATGGACTTCAGCAATCATCCTTCGAGCTTTTGGGATTGAGTTAGGCTCAAGGTTCATTTTTTTACATCTCGTATATGTTAAGCAGATGATTTGGTCTTGTTTCTCCCATTTATTCCGGATTACACTTGAAGAGTACACTCTAGCTAGTAATCTGGTTATGCTTTAGCTTGTCATAGAACTCCTTTTGCAATCTGCATTTCGTTTTTCGGTTTTGCAACTCCTTCTCACAAGTCTTGTTTCTTTCAAATCTTTGTTTTATTCCTCTAGATTGACCGTTTTCCGGTTCAGGTGGACTACTCTCTTGCATGTGCTTTTGATATTTTTGAAGTCCCTGATTCTTCAAATTAAGGAGATTCTTTGTAGCTCAGTTGTTTGCTTTTCCTCGGAGAATAAGGAGTACAAGATAATCTAATAAGGAGTACAAGATAATAGGAACTTTTCAGAAACTTAGTTCTTATACCATGCCCATATTTTCCGATATACAAGAAACAGAATTAAGTGGCACAAAAGAAGTTTTCCTGTCTGCCATCCGCTATGCCACTTCAACTGGTGATTCATTCCCTCAATTCGAGGATGATCTAAGAGCGTCAGCTCAAGAACAGGTTGAGTTCATGCTCGAGGACGATGAAAAGATTCCCTTGGTCATAGCTGATGATGAAATAAAAGTGGAGACTAGAATTGTGGTGTCTAAAATCTTTTCTTCTTTTGAAAATGAATTATTCTCGTTGATTTTGGAGCCTGACATTGCGAACATGGAGATGGAAAAGAATATAATGCGGAGTCTATCTGACCTCGAATGGATGCATAACACTCTTTTGAAGATGGATCTCATGAAGGACTTTGTCACTCACTGGTCTAATATATCGAGCAATTTACTGAAGGTCATCGAAGATAAAAGACTTGATTCTGTCATGTGGGATTTGAAGATAAAGTTAATAGAAGTGACATCAAAAGTATTGGAAGCAGTAGGTTACGGAACTGTAGTTCTTCCAGCAGAAAGTCGAGTAGAATTGCTCAAGACATGGCTTCCATACATAAGAAAAATGAAGTCCCTTTCCGATGAAATGAGCACAACGGAGGCTGCATTTCCATACAAGATGAGTGATGACCTTTGCCAATGTGTCGAGGGAGCAATAGTTTCATTGGTTTCAGCATTACCGTCAAATGATCAAGCTGACATTCTAGCAGATTGGATAAGTGCTGAACAGGTTAAATATCCAGACCTTAGCGAGGCTTTTGAGATATGGTGCTACAGAACCAAGTCTGCACAACGAAGATTAGACGAGGCTTTGACAGAGTCAGCAATGCCAATGCCATTGCCATTGTCACCCTCTACTTAATTTCTGAAGACGAAACATCGCCTCATAAGCACCTTTGGCTATTGCTGGTTCACGTGGTAGCGTGCTCAACATATTCCCTGGTGAGTTAACGCTTCGAGAAAATATGGTGTTTTTGTATCTATAGTAATTTGATGTGTAATTGTAACCTTCTTATTTAGTTGTAATTGGAAACTTCTTTCATATAATAGACATCTAAAGATAAGAAATGATTTATTTCTCCTCTGATTCCTATTGAGTTGTCCTAAGGCTTCTCTTTTGACTGTGCTCGTTGGGGCGTTAAGCCTAGGTTTGGTACCTTTGCTTGGTGCAAGTGTTTTTTTTTTTTTGATGACAAGGGAAACCCGCAGCCACTATCCTTTGGGTGCGTACAGGGTAAAACCTCCGCTCCTATGCAATAGCTCGCAAACCACATGGGAGAGGTAACCTGCACTAGGCAAGCCCGGTGCGACGAGCTTGACCCAGAAGGCAAACCCCTTGCTTTCGCTGGCAAAGGGTTTTGAACTGGAGACCTCCAACATGGAAGTCCCAAGCCCAAACCACTGGGCCACCCCGAAGGGTGAGTGTTTTTCTATCAATATCCGGTGATCACGAAGAGAATGGGTAAAGAACCTCTAACTTTAGAAGTGTTCAAACAAATGGCTCTAAAACCATTGATCTACTCATTGTGTTAAGCTAATGTTCCTTAATATGTTACTCCATGTATTGCAATGTCCCCATCTTTCTCCTTTGAATTGCTGCATTTGAGTCAAGTGTCTTTCGGAATTAGTCTCTCTATATCCACGAAGTAGTGATAAGGTCTACGTACGTTCTATCCTCCCAGACCCCCACTTATGGGATTTCAATGTTGTTGTGAATAATTTGCAGCCAAGATAAAAAGATTGGGCCTGTTTGGAAATGATTGGGCTTCTGGATGTGGTAGACTATTTTTTTGTTTTCATATAGACCGTCGGTATCTGCTTTGAGATTCGACTAATTTGGATTCGGATTAAAAAGTCGTTATTTGAGGGTAACACTTTCCTATTAAAAGATACTTTCAATTAATTTAAATTTATATCGAAACATTTTATTTTGGGATAAAGTGATTCATACTAAAAGTGATTTTATTTAAAACTCATCGAACTCAAAATTTCTGACTAAGGTTGAAAAAGTACTTATGAGTTACGACTAATAATAACATTTGATAGTAGACTGATTCAGTATAGATATTAGACGCCGAGTGATTTTATTTTTTATTTTTTAGTGAAACTCAATGTTCGAGGGACACATATAGGGTCATATAATTAATTATGGTATACACAGCATTAATGGGATTAATTAGAATTATGAAAGGCTGTGGCTGCACGAGTATCCAGTCATTATCACTAATTCACTATAATTATAATTTTGGTCAAAAAGCACATAATTAATAGTCATGTTTTTACTATTTTATTTACTGTTTTAATTATTTTTTTTATAATTCGTTTAATAAACAATACCCTTCGGGTGGCCCAGTGGTTTGGGCCTGGGACTTCCATGTTGGAGGTCTCAAGTTTGAAACCCCTTGCCAGCGAAAGCAAGGGATTTGCCTTCTGGGTCAAGCTCGTCGCACCGGGCTTGCCTAGTGTGGGTTACCTCTCTTATGTGGTTTGCGAGCTATTGCATAGGAGCGGGGTTTTACCCTGTGTGCACCCAAAGGGTAGCGGTTGCAGGTTTCCCTTGTCATCAAAAAAATTCATTTAATAAACAATGTCTCATTTCTAATTAGTAATTTTTTAATTCTAATTTTTCACGTGACACGTTTAAGATCACAAGATTGAAGGGCGTTTTCATACATTGCACATATTTTTGATTTATTAATTTAAGATCACAAAATTCAAAAGTCTTTTTTATTTTCTTAAACTACGTGTCAAATCAAAATAAGATAAATTAATTGAAACTTATACAAGGCAAGTGACTTATTTTTATCTAATTAAATTAATTATAACATATATATATATATATAATATTTTTCATATGGTATTAGGTTTATTTTGTTAACCAATTTGGTATTAGGTTTACTTGTTCTTGCTCCTAGAAGTGTAAAGTAACACATCTTTAAAATGCATGATCAAATCCAAAATACTTAACTAATTAATCTAAGCTTTTTCAAACACCTTTTTGTTTCTAGAATGCATGATTATACAACTAGGGACGGATCAAGAGGATTGGTTACACAGTGGTGTATACAAAATTTTCATTAAGCGGTGTCGATTTTGGGATACCATCTTCAAACTCCACTTTGTAGGACCATAATGAATATATTGTTATCGTTGGTGTCGGTACTAGAAAAAAAATGGGCACTATATCAAAACATCAAGAGGCGTTCATTGTCAATTAGTGTCATTTTGTTCATTAATGTTGTATCACTCTATGCATAGTATTAACAATACCTCAATTATTATTATGATATTAACTTAGAGATTGCTATAAGAATACGTAAATTTCAAATTCTGAATCCATTCTAATATACAATATAGCAAATTTGTCCATATGTTTTCCACAAGAAATTGAACGAATCATAGCCATACTCATCATTTCATTGGTGAATGGTGGTTGTATGTGGATGCCAATTTTTTTACTTTTTGATATAATAATAAGTTGCTCAAACAAAAGAAAAAAGCAACATGATTATATTTGCAACTAACATAAAGCATGGATTTTTTTTTTAATTTTATTTTTTAGAAGAAAAAAATATGGGATATATATGATTTAATTAGTGGTTGTTGAAGTGGATGATAGGCCCTTCTTATCATCATAACCTTGATTGCACGCTTAGAAATTAGTGAATTCGAGCTTTGGGTATGGAGTCATTTTTGATAAAAAATAATGTAAAATTATTTGAAGCTAATCCAAATAAGTCAAACTCTAAAACAGATATATATACATATATATATATATATAATATCATTCACATAATAATTACGTTAGAGTCAATATTAAAATTTGAAAAATATGAATTTTGAAAATGTTCTTGTAGCTAGGTATACTATAATACTAGTAGATAATAGAAATTGATTGTGTGTGATTACAAAAGGGATATTTTATATGCCCTTTATTAATTATTATTAGTGAGGACTAGTCAAACAAAGATTAAGCCCTAATGATTTAAGGTTTGTTTGCAAAGCCATATATATAATATCACAAAACAAAAAATTAAAAAACATTGAAAAAGACCCCCACCCACTATCCTAGAAGAGAAAAAAAGGTTTTGGAATTTTCTTTTCATTGATTTGACATAATATTAAAATCTTTTTATCTAAAATTAATAATTAGTACGATACATCTTTTTATCTAATTCATTATTAAATAGAATTGTCTGTCACTAATTTCTTATTTTGTTTGTTGTGAATATATAGGAATATTATAAAAATTAAATAGAAAGAGAGTTTTGTGAATACATAGGAACAATGACAGGTATATAATGCCTATAGGAACCAACTTCATTATCAGCATTTCTTATCTATATAATAATATAACAAATTGTATGGTGAAAAGCAAACATGATCTGCTGTTATTGGTACCTCTAATAATTCTACAAAAGAAAAATAATTTTTGGTTCTAAATAATTCTATTTTCATGACTCGAACTCAAAATATTTTATGGTTTAAATTAAAGTTATAATTAGGGCTTTTTTTCTATCTCATCATACCCGTTGATAGTATAAATTATAATAGACTCTATTTTTGTTACCCTTTCGATGTTCAATACACTCTTTAGGCTCCGTTAATTTATATTCATTTGGAAAGCCACACGTGGAAAATAAAATGATGCGGGTCTTGAATTCGAGACTTTTGATTAAAGTTAGAGCAATACTTACAACCCTATCATATACAACCTCTAGTTGATGTATAAATTGCATTTATTTGTCATGGATGATGCAAAAAAAATTATGTTACCTATTTTGTGTTAAGTATCTGCTTTGAGTCTTAACGATATTTTGAAAAGTTTTGTTTTATAATTAAAGGTAAAACACTCCATAATAAAGGTGAATTCGTCCCGATGCATATTCAAAACATTTTCTTAACATTTACAAATTGCATTTACTTGTCATGGATGATGTAACTCTTTTTTTTTTTTAATGTTTTTTTAATAAAGTCAATAGTTGTTAGCACTTGGTATCAATTGGATTCTCAAAATTAAATCTCAATGAATATTCACTACCATTCTACTATTTTATATCTTAAAAGAAATAAATTAAAAATAGCACCTATACATAGAGACTATAGAAAATTATAAAGTATCTACTTTAATTTAGTCAAAATAATTAAATAATATGCTTGGAAACAACATTGCCTTTCCTACTTGTGGAGTTGATTAAACACTTTTAGTAAATATGGTGTTTTTAATTACATGCTTAATTTTAATTAAACATGAGAGTGTATAGTTTAATAAGAGTACATTGACTTTCTTACAAGTAAATGACAAACTTATTCTCAACTTGGATTTATTAAATTAAAGTGAAGAAAATTAATTTAAAAAAGCTATATTGAATATACACAAAGCCAATAGCCACCTCAATAGAGTTCTAAAGGACAATATAAGACTAATTTCAAAGAACTAAAAATAAATAAATAGAGGAGATGAATTTGATCCAAAATTCCAAGAAGGTGCACCCACCCAAAAAAAACAAAAAAAGGTTGAGTTTGAAAAGGATAAAAGTGATAATTTTGTTTGACTTTATAAGAATAAACAAATAAATAAATAAATATTAACAATAAAGAAGAGGTAAAATCCAAAATAGGAACTTTCAGTCCTTATAATTAAAAAAAAATAGTTTATCATAAAGTTCTATATTCCACTGTGAAACTTTAGGATATTATTATTGTTATGTTGTTTTATATGAGGAATTCATATCTCCTTGTAATTGTGGGTATTTTATATATATAAGAAAAATAATAGGAACACCAGTTGATGCAATTTCTACAAAAATAATAATTAATATCTTGGAATTATTTTGCAGAAATTGAATCGAAAAGAAGAAAACCTACGTAAATCTCACTAATTTATGAGCTAATTATTTAGATACACTTTAGTTTAATTTGTAATATTACGAATCTTACCAGATTTTGGTGTATTCATATACGTTCAACTACGTCCATATACATGTATCTCGAGATACATGAGGTCAAGATTATGTGTAATTTGTTCTAGAGACACTGTATCCAAGTAGATTCACGTGTATCTGTGATACAAAACAAATCTCGCTC